CTGCAAAGAAAAGAAAATCGATTAAATATATGGATCATAAAATATCAATCAAAATAGATACAAAATCAATGAAAAAATATGTGATAGAATGTCGTCTGTATCTTATAATTTGATTTATCTCGGAAATGGAAATATATGTAAATAATCATAATGATCATCATCATCATAATAATAATAACAATAATAATAGTAATAATAATAATGATAATAATAATAATAATAATAATGATTACAAACGATAAAATGTAATGGTGGCGATTTTTTTTTTCTTTATTTCTTCTCTCTCTCTCTCTCTTTCCCACCCCCCCCTCCCTCTCTCTCTCTCTCTCATTCACAACCCCCACCCCCACCCTTACCCTCACCCCCTACTCCTACCCCCCCAAACATCCATTCACAACATCCCCCTCCCCCCCCCCCTCAACAATGAACCCAAAAGTAATAATTGAGTTAATGATATGGGCAGTAAATAATGTTGATAAAAAAATGTTACTAATGATGATGTTGTTTAATGATCATATTGCATGATCATCATAATAAGGGTGACGCGAGAGGGTGGGAGGGGTTTGGGGGAGGGGAGGGGGTGTCAGGGTGACTCATGAAATTTAATAAAAGGTTGTAAGGGTGGTGTCGATCTCTCTCTCTCTCCCTCTCTCTCTATCTCTATCTACCTCCTCTCTATCTATCTCTCCCTCTCTCTCTCTCTCTCTCTCTATCTCGCTCTCTCTCACCCGCCCACTATCCATCCAGTTCATCCATCCAAGCAACCCCCACCCACCACCACTCCTCCATCCTCCCCACCACACCCAGCCTCCCTCCACCCCACCTCCACCCCCACCTCCACCCCATCCCTACCCACCCACCTCCATCCACCCCACCCACTTCCACCCACCCCACCTCTCCAACCCCACCCACACCTCCACCCCATCCCCACCCACCTCCGCCCACCTATCCATCCAGTTCATTTAATCAGGCGCCTAAAATTAATATGTCGCGATAGATAAATCCGCGAGCGAGGCGAGTGACGCCGAGAAATGGACTGGCAATTTATTACTCGGAGTCTCGGAGGGCGGTCGCTCCAGACGGCGGGGAGGGGGGGGGGGACGTGACCCGAGGTGCGAGGTGGAGGGTAAGGGAGGGTACGGGGAGGGAAGGGAGGGGGAAGGGTAAGGGGTAGGATGGGAGGAGGGTAAGGGGGTAGGAGGAGGGAGGTGAGGGGGAGGGTAAGAGGAAGGAAGGGGAGGGGGGAGGGGAGGGAGAAGGGGAAGGGAAGGGGGGGTAAAGGAGGGAGGGGGAGGAAGGGAGGGAGGGAGGGTAAGGGGGAAAGATGGGAGGGAGGGAGGAAGGGAGGGAGGGAGAGAGAGGGAAGGAGATACAGAGAGAGAATAACGGAGAACAGAGAAAGGGAGAGAAATAACAAAATAATAGAGAAAAAGAGGAAGAGAAAGAGAGAATAACAAAGAACAGAAAAAAAGAAAGCAGACAGAGAAAAAAGTGAGAGACAGGAAGGAGAGAGAAGGGCGGGACAGGAGGAATTCCTGTTGCAACAATTTGCAAAGAACTTCTCTCATCCTCTCTTCGTGTCTTCATTTCTACAAAACAAATATTTCAGATAACGCCATAGAACACCTTGATAGAATCGATATATATATATATATATATATATATATATATATATATATATATATATATATATATATATATATATATATATATATATATGTATTTTTTTTTCTTTTTTTTTCTTCTTCTTCTTCTTCTTCTTCTTTTCCTCCTCCTTCTTCTTCTTTTCTTTTTCTTCTCCTCCTTCTTCTTCTCCTCCCTCCTTCTTCTCCTTCTCCTCCCTTCTTCTTCTTCTTCTTCTTCTTCTTCTTCTTCTTCTTTCTTCTTCTCCTCCTCCCTTCTTTCTTCTTCTACTCCTCCCTTCTTCTTTTCTCCTCCTCCTCCTTCTTCTCCTACTTTTCCTCCTCCTTTTCATTTTTTAATATATCTTCTAAGTCAATCCACTGAAGACCAAAAAATCCCTCAACAATTACCATAAAGTTTTATCAAAAAATAAACATTGCAACACAATTAAACAAACAAACAAAACACATACACATACATACGCACACACACACACACATACACACACATCTAAAGCCCAAACGGCGATCAAAATCCAGCAAATCTATCCCTTAATTACTCATTTACTTCACTCGATTCACACACGGGAAGGATGTCAATCTTATTTTAGATGTCATTTGGGCGAGGGTAGAGGGGAGGCTCTCTCGCTGGACGTCAGTCATTTGCTTCGATCCAAGATGGTGGTCCGTTCCTCTCATCGCCTCTCCTCTTTCTCTCTTCCTCTTTCTCTTCCTCTTTTTCTCTTTCCTTTCCCTTTTCTCCCTCTTTTTCTCTTCCTCTCCTTCTCTCCCTCTTTTTCTCTTCCTCTCCCTTCTCTCTCTCCTTTCCCTTCTCTCTCTCCTCTCCCTTCTCTCCCTCTTTCTCTCTTTCCTTCTAC